TCGCGTACGCGTTGGATAGTTTTTCGAATACCAGCATGAGAAGCTAAAGGGCTGTCATGGAGCTCCTGCAGGATATTTAATCTAAGACTAGCTGGGATAACAGGTCGAAATTCGTTGTTGGAATTCGTAGTTTTTGTATAAAATAATAGACCATCTATTAGTTCGTAATGGGCCGCCCTATTTCTTATCGCCACAATATCTTGGTGGCTAAAATTTTCAGGATCCTTCAAATACTCATAAATACTTCCAAACTCAGGATCCTTACCCAGTTCGGTTATTACAGTTTCTCGGGAATTTATTGTACACGCTGTCAGCATTGCCATCTTTACGGTATTACCCTGTTCGTCTAATTTAATTCGTGATAGGGCATCTGCTACGATATTTTCCTTTCCGGGGGTATGCTTGATTACCAGATTATATTCTTGCAGCTTGAGTGCCCATCTTATTAACCTTGGGGATAAATTTTTCCCTGAGTACAATCTAGTTACCGCCGCATGATCAGAATATACTGTTATCGGCGCCTTTCCAAAATAGACTCGGAACTTTTGCACTGCTAACAGAACTGCAAGTGCCTCTCTCTCGGTCGCGGAATAGTTTCTTTGTGTTTGATTTAAAGTTCGGCTAAAAAATGCCACGGGCTGCTGATTTTGCGAAAGTACCGCTCCTACCGCATAATCCGAAGCATCCGCTGAAATTTCTAAATTTCATCCTTTTCAGGAAATTTCAACACAGGGGCTTGCGTTAATGCTTGTTTTAATTTTTCGAAAGCACTATTGGCTTCGGCCGTCCACGAGAATCTTGCCTTTTTTCCTTTTTAATTTTAACAATGGCTCAGCGATAGCCGCAAAATCTTTTATAAAGGACCTATAATATGAACAAAGTCCTAGAAAAGAAGAGAGCTTCTTTGCCGTGTTTGGAGTCGGATACTTTTGTACAGCGATTATTTTTGATTCATCTGTCTCGATCCCTTTTTGCGATATTTTGTAACCTAAATATTTTAATTCAGGGGCTGCAAATTTGCACTTTTCGACATTAACTTTTAGACCGGCCTCATTTAATAAAGAAAACACCTGTCTTAAATCCTGTACATGTTGGTCGAGATTATCACTAGTAATAATGATATCGTCTAAATAGATAAATGTGGACTTTCCAAGAACAGGTCCAACACAATGTCCATGCATCGCTGAAATGTTGCTGGGGCGCCTGAAAGGCCAAACGGCATACGCAAAAATGCATAAGTGCCAGACTTGGTTATAAAAGCAGTCTTAGGCACGTCCTCAGGCCTGACCCCTATTTGAAAATAACCATTCGTTAAGTCTAAAGTCGTCATAAATTTGGTTGATTTTATGTTCCTTAAAATTTCTTCTATAATCGGTAACGGATATACCGGATATTTCGTTATGGAATTTAATTTACGGTAATCAATAGCGAATCTCCACCTTTTTGGATGCTCCAAAGGATAATCATTATTTTTCTTACATAAAACCACCGGGCTAGCATAACTACTTGAGATGGGCGTTATGATCTTTTTACGTAGCATATCGGTAATATGCCATTCTATAATTTTTTCCTTATTCTTATCATACCGGTATGGTTTTTGACGAACCGGCAATGCATCTCCGGTGTCAATACTATGGTTAGTAACCTGAGTAAATCCTGGAATATCACTAAATAACGAAGCAAATTCACTTACCACTTGTCGGATTCTATCTTGCTCGTCATTAGGCAGGTGGTCAAGATTTAACCTTGGCGGTTCAACCTTTTCTACACGCACTGGTTTCATCGTCAGCTTAAGGGACGCTTCATTAAAATCCAGTGTAGCTTGTGCGTCTGAAAGAAAAGTCTATTCCTAAGTATTAATGTGCTTGCAAATTCTTTACTATAAAAAAACATCACCTTTACTTGTTCGTCCTTGATACGGATGTACAAAGGTACTTTACCTACGCACTTACATTGTTCTCCTTGCGCCGCTAATACTGTTCGTATTATCCGCATTATATATGCGGTATTTGCGAAAATACTTTCTAAAAAAGACTTCTGCCACACAGGAACACTGCGCGCCGGTATCCAGGAGTGCGGTGGCCGGGATATTATTTACCAAGACTTCAATCTTCGGAAGAGTCAAAATTTTTCACCATTACTGTATTTAACTTGTAGGAAGAGGGGTTTTCGTGGCCTTCGGATTTCCGCACCCTCTCGTCAGCAGCAGAAATCCGTTTTAGTTTAAATTATTTTTCCTTTCCGTGCTTTCCTTCTTTTTCCACTGGCCTTGAGACTTTTTTCCTGGGTTGCTATTGAACTGTCGACGTTCGCCGGCTGTTTTTGAATGCTCGGGTTTCCTTGCCCACTGATTCGCTTTTTCTCCGTAGCCATGTGCTTGAGTTTGCTGTAGTCTTGGCGTACCAAATTGGTTTCGCTGTTGATATTGGCGTCTTCTTTCGACGTCCGCCGTTCTTCTACTTTCAAACTGGATTGCTAGCTCAAATAACTTTTCCAGTGTAGTCGGATTTCTTAATTCAATAAAGTCTTGCACTTGGGGTAGTAACCTCGGCAAAATCACTTGAATTATTTCAGGATCCGGACGGTTTCCATACAAGAGCTTGAAAACGTGAATTTTTCTTAAAATAAAGCTCGAGAGGTTTTCGATTCTTTGTTGATATATACTGAAAAGTTCCTGTTTCTAATTTCGCACGATCCCTTACAACAGGGAAGGCTTTTAGTAGGGCAGTCTTGAAATTTTCGTAAGTATAGGTGGGACTTCCTGCTTGACCCAAGAGACTTCTGCCGATACATTTGAACCAGTTAAGCGCTTGGCCCCTCAAAGCGCTGGTAGCTAAGGTAACTTTTTGAAACTCGTGCACGGGGGTAGAGCATGAAGTGGTCATCCAATTTTTCCAAAAAACTGGTTACCGGTGAGTTTCCATTAAACGTTGCTTCTGGTTTCATCGAAGCGCGCATGGTCTGGACGATGTACCCAAATCCTTCCAGGGCGGCAGCTGGCATTTCTGGATTCTGAGCCGTTTCTGCAGGCAGCACAGGTTCTTCTTGAAACTCGGCCATGGTTATTCTTCGTTCGGGCGCCACTATCAGGTTCAATGTTTCTTCTAACCTTCTTCGGAAACATACAATGACCTGACTCGGAACAGGGAGCTTACTAAAGCTATGTTCACTAATTGTAGTAAGTAGACAGGATACAGACGAAGGGTATACAAAACCCTTTATTTTTCTTTATATACAATGACTTCCGTACTTCGGAATACAATGACCCTCCACTCGGGGTCTAACGTAAAAGATATCAAAATAAAACTAAACTCTAATTTAACTTTAGAATAAGATTGGCCTTATAATAACAGGAAGCGTATGTAGCACAGAGACTGTGAACACTACAATACGTTTAATTTATCAAGAGGATTAAAACCTCTGGCCTGGAAGGCAAAGTAGCAACTGCGTAAACTTCTAAGGTAAGCGGCCTGCTTCGAACTCACTGCTTCCTCTCTTCTGCTTGGCAAAAAGGCCACACTTAAATACTTGGCGTTCGCCAGACAAACTTTGCATAAATCCTTCACGCTTATAATTCTGGCCGGAAGTAGAAAATAAGAAGTGATAGTAAAGATTTAAAATAAAATAAACGTTAGTAAAACTTAAGATCCTTACAGGATCTATATTTCTCAATACAAATATAAAAAATCATTATTTTTAAGTTAGTTTACGACATTACAGTTAACAGAATTATTTTTCTCTTAAATAGTTAAAACATTTAGGCGCAATAATTTTATGGTTAAATACTTTTTCTTTGATAATAACACACTACGATATAAAAAATATATATATACAAAATTCAACTCAGGTCTGCCGGGTGTGTGTGATTATAGTCCAATTCTATCTCACAGTTAAACGCAGTAAAAGGTGTTATAGCCCTTCCCCTGGAAAAGACTCCGAACAACCTCTCTCTGTACAAAAGCGATTCATGGTCCAAATAGGTTCTGTTTTGATTATTGAGCGAAATTTTTTTCACAGCCTTCCCAGGCCGCAGCTGTATTCTAAACTATTCGGAAGGACATTATTGTGACGCATTTTTCATTCCTCAAGACATTATTCAAATTATTGAATTGAAAATTTACTTTTCAAGAATGAATAATCACTCTTTTAGTTCTATTGATTGTCTTAGTTACAGTCGTAGCATGAAATCCGTTATTTCTAACTTTATTTTAAAATTTATATATAATATCCGCTGTTACATGCTGATGCCATTCCGATGGTTGATAGCATTAGCAGTTTATTTAGAAAGTTACATCACATGATTTTTTTTTCATCATTCTTGTCTTAACAGAGGATAAACAGTTTGTTTCGTAACCAGTTACAATTTCAAAACTTTATAGAACCCGCAATTTTTATAAAGAAAATTTCAACTAATAGACTTCAAAAAGCCGAAGAAATCGAACAATTATTGAAAATTCAGCAAATAACCAAAAATTATGTTTAAAACTTGCTAAACTGGAAATTTAAAAAGAATCTAATTCAAAGTTTTAACAAACCGCTTCACTATTGTATTATCGTTCATATACAGTTTGTATGCAGAGATTGAGCTTGATAGCTCATTAAGAAATATTTGAAAAATCCGCGACAACCGTAGCAAAATGCACTATTAGTAAGCTAAATAAAAGCTGATAAACACAATTAGAGGATTCGATCATCTACCGCAGCTGTCATTGCCATAGCTATGTGGTAAACCGGAAGTACAATATGACCCTGAAGTGAATATTCTACAGTAAAAGAGTATAACAGGCAATTTATTGCGATATTGCGCCACAGATTAATTTAAAAATTTCCGAATTTAGTTTTCTCTACATTCCTGAAACGGTACACTTATGGCAAATACTACTACAATAGCTTTATAAGCAGTTAACATTCGTACGACTTAAAACTAAATAATTAGAAATATTAATATTTATACATAACAATTAGCAAAAATAATTTCACAAAGAAGGAAGAACACTTACGACGACAGAGTGGTCTTGGTGCACTCCAGTTACCAGTGGGCAAACAAACGAGAGTATCTATCCCAACTAATTCAAAACCTTCTTTACAGGAATACTTCAAAACATCTCTGACGAAACAACAATTTCCCTCCCTTGCACCATCGACTGATACTCCAGGATCAGGACAAGGCTTCTTCTCTGTCAGAAGTAAAAATGTTATTGATCGGCATTTCAAAAATCAACTTAAACTGTGTTCTACATACGTATGCAAATCAAGGAAATGCGCATTCAACAGAAGAACAGTATTACAAGATCTTAATATTTATTGAGCTCTAAAGCTTTTATAAGGAACATGGAATTTCACACAACGGCAGTCAGCTTATGAAAAATACGGCTTCTTGGAGACTTTCCAAATGATATACGAAACTAAACTACCTTAAATGTTAATATCTAACTCCGCCAATACACCTCGTCTAATAACACCGACGCAGGAGAAAATCTTTTATATATATATAAGCGGCTAAAGTGTGTGCCGCCGATAGTTTATTGTTGCCACTCGGAAAAATGAGCACGGAAATTAACGTTTCCGCTGTTTGTTAACTAATATCTCGGCCGATTAAATTCGTTCGAAAATGAGAAGGGTATCGATGGATTCGGAGAATTTTTTGGAATCCGAGGATACGCGTCTCGAATTTAAACTCGGCGCCGTTCCGTAGATATTCGAGAAAAAAGAATTTGGCACGTAGCCAAATTTCTGTAATAGGGAAAACCCAAGAAAGAAAGTGGAAAAATGTAGAGAAAAAGTACGGGAAAATTAGTTTTTAATTAATATCTCGGCTAATTAAAGTACTCAAGAAGACGCGAATGGTCAAAATGGCGTGCCACGGACTTGCGGAATCCAACGGTGTGCTTCGCTAAGGCCGGAAGCGAGACCTTTCGGAGGAGATGATGTTACGTCACCCCATATATATATGGGGCTAAGTGTCTGTTTGTCGCGATAGTTTTGGTTGCTGCGACTGTTAACTAGCCAATGGAGTGAAGTGCCACGTCACAGGTTTGCCGTTTCAATGATAGTAGACAATTCCTGTAAAAATTGCCTTTGCTATGACCATCCTAAATCTCAGGGCAAAACGCTTAAGCGTGTTGGCATTTTTTACTTGAGCTGTACTTGGACACGGTAACTTTATGTTGCCTGTTCAAGAGTTCGTGAAAGAAGGACATAAATTAAAAATAATGTGGTACCTGAAAGGCGAGCTTAAAAGTGATGGAAAGATCTACACAAGAAAATGTGTGTACAAAGAGATCTTTGACATGTGAGTAACATTTCAGATTTAAATCACCTTTACTGATTGAGCAAGGTGGGCTGTTGAGAAATGTACCTCCAGTTGTTTCTTTCATTGACTCTACTTAACATTAAGCAAGATAGAAGGGGGAAACCCCGTGGGGCAGCAAGCAAAGTGGGCCTCGCCGTCTGCCGTGGGTAATTCAGTTTAAATTAGCAGACACCTTTGCACAAATCATTTTAATTACAATTTATAATATCTAGAACATCGGTCATTTCGTATGACCGCCGGGCTTTCTAGTTTAAAATAAACCATTTTCATTAGCTCGCGAGCCTAATATCCCGCGCCCTGTGTAATAACAGAAATTTAACCCCGCAGCTTGTAGGAAGAGCAGAAACAAGCTTTAAATTCGTTTTAAACTAATAAAATATAAAATTTTACGTGACAGAGATCGCCTAAATTTTGGCTCAAGCCCTTTGCATCCCTGAACAATTACGGCTAGCAAATGTAAAGTAAATGCAAACGACACGTTTTCGTATAGCGTCTACATTTACTTGAACTGACTGAAACTGAAACAGTAGAAAAATTGCCAACAATAGCTAACGCAAACACTCCCTTATACGGAATAACTTTTAGCTTAAATATATAAAGTAATTAGCATCTTGGTGCAAATAAATTAGGTAATGAAAGGCGAGGAAATTTTAAGTGATTGTACAGGCAAAAATAATGAGATAACTAGCCAATAAATGTAAATTCCTAGAGCCATCATCACTAGATTTTACAGAATCGAATACGATCTTAATGACCTTTAACCTTTCAGCACCCGCGTATGCGCACAATTTACGACAAATTCAGTTTTTAATACACATTTTTCGCATATCGAAGCTGAGACGTGTGAAGGTCATTTCTATTAATCCATACTGGCTCAACACCGGACGTATCTGAAGACTCATAACTTGCACCTTCACGAGATTTATTTATCTCAATTACGAACTTTTTAACGTTAGGGTAGAAAAAGATAAGCCATTTTCGCACGAATTCAACACAGGATGAGTTTTCAAAACCCGGGTGCCTGCATACAAGTGTTTTCTAACACCTGAGTCTCTTCTATTAATCCTTTCTACTTCCCCACAGCAGGAAGCGGCAACATAAATCATGACTTTTTTTGTTTTTTTTTAATCTGGGCTTTATGCTACATAGCAGCTTTTTCATAATTTACGATACGCGCGTGCGGGTTTTAAAATTCGGAAGTATTTTTCTCAAATATTTGTATTTTGTGTTATAACTGCGTGTATTTTTAATTGAATACATTTGGTCTGTAAATTTTATATCGGTTCTCATGGCAAAAATATGTGCAAACCATCTGATTTTGCTCGGATTCTTCAAGAATTATCTGATGAAAGTAAAGGAAACCTTTGGATGGGAGAACAATAGCGATTTCCATTCCTATTTATTTTATTTCTATTTTAGAATAAATCACAATTAATCTACTTTAAGTGCTTTTTGTAACCAGTAAGAAGTAAATTTCCTGCAGAAGCAAGTATGCTAAACTTACTTTTTTTCTCCCAAAGGTTTTCCTTTTTTATTGTCTATCTGTCTGATGATATTAATTAAAATTAGTTCGTTTTAAAATATAATTATTAAATAAAATTAAAAAATTTCTATAATGAAATACGTCACGTTTCCATCTCATAACAGAAGAACTTAAAAATAATTTACTTATACAGTAAGACCCGCTAACGTGTTTCGTTTAGCGCTGTTTCGGTTAGCGCTCTTTTATTTCAACCGGGGATTCCCCGAAAATTATGCAGCGATAGGTTTCAAATACATATCCGAAAGAGTGTACTTGTATTTCTTGTTTGGTGCGGTATTGTACAGACATATTTTGAAGGGGAAATGTGGAAAAAGATGTCGAAGAAATAATTCAAGAAGCAGCGGCTAGTCTTTCTAATGATGAGCTCAAGGAGTTAACTGAACAAGAAGAAAACAAAATGTTGACAGCAATGATTCAGAAGAAGAGCAAAAAAGAACTTTCGATGGCGTTGTAAAAAGGAGTTTGTCTACCATAACTGAAATAATGGATCAATTCATTGAAAATGATCCGAATTTTGACAGGAGCTCAAAGTAAGGCGTGGTGTTAGAGATGCTCTATTCGTTATGAAGAACTTTTAAGAGAACAACGCAAAAGAAAAAGGCAAACAACATTAGATGCTTTTGTCACAAAAAGGCAGAACACTGAAAACGCGGAAGGCTAACTAAATATGACTGACTAGAATTTTATTGTTTTTTTTTTAAGAATATTCGTTTGTTATTTATATTTTGTTTTATTTTTGCAAGAAATAATAATGTGGTATTAATTTGGGCTTTAAGAAATAAATGTTTGGTTTTATTTTTATTAAAAAAACATACTTTTTAAATTTAATACCTAACCAATTTCCTAGCCATCTTCCCCTAACCCCAATATTACATGTAAAGATAGCCTCGTTTAGCGCTGTTTCGCATTACGCTCTACTTTGATGAAGATCCCCCGCGTTAAGTGGGATCTTACTGTATTTGAACGTGATATTTGTATTTTGCAATAATAAGATTAATATTTTATTTCTTATTGATTATGAATTGATTATGAATATTCACTCATTTCTGTCATTTTTCGTGCCCAAAACGGTAAAATAACGGATGTCGTAAAAAAAAACGTCGCGCGCGTGCTCATGTAAAATTGCAAAGCGCGTGCACATAGCTAGTTCTGTGCATAAACAGTTTACTTAAGTTCATCTAAATCCTCCCGACACGACACGCTCTGTTTATTTTGAAACTCGACACGAACGCACGTTTTTTAGCTACACGAACAGCTCTGTTTATGTAGAAGGTCGACACGACACGCTCTGTTTATTTAGAAGCTCGAAACACGAGAAACCAGCAATCCCGCCGCCGAAATTTGAAATACACTATTTTCACTCATCTATTCCAATATAATTTCCACTTGGCATGGAATTTATCTGAAAATTTATTATTTAGAATCTTCTCTCTGTCTTAAACTCAAGCAGTCGTCACTGCTAGATGATTTTCTCAGAGGCTGTCACCATAGCAGAGGTAATGATACTGCATTGGATTCCCAGGTTCGGAGTGCCTCTTTAGTCACATTCCAATCAAAGAAGAAATTTTGCCTCCCCTGTAATTAAAGAACTCTATAAGCTACTGGGCATTGAGAAGACCGAAACGACACCTTTACGTCACCAGTCAGACGATATGGTAGAGAGGTTTCATCCAACCATCTTTAATGACATCTCGTTGGTGGTTTCCAGAAACCAGCAGAGCTGGGACAAGAAGTTATCTCTATATTTTCTGGCTTATCGCAGTGCTGTCCACGAGACTACAGGCTATTCCCCATCTCAGATGCTCTTCGGTCGTGACCTTCGTTTGCCTTGTGATCTCTTGCTGGGTCGCCCTCCGGATGCGCCTTCATCGCCCGAGGAGTACATGCAAGATCTTCAGGCACGGTTTGAAGTGAATGCACAATTTTGCCTGAAAGCGAGTCAACCTGGCAACGGAGAAGGTGAAGACCTGATACCGCACGAGAGCTACAGGACATCGATTCAATGAAGGAGAAAAGGTATAGTTGTGGAATCTGATTCGACGGAAGGGACTCTTTCATACACCTTGGTATGGTCCTTATACAGTCTTAAGGAGGCTGAACGATGTCGTTGTTTGGATCCTCAAGTCTTCGAGTTTTAAGCCGAAAGTCGTTCATTACGACAGGTTAGCTACTTACTATGGTCATGGTACGTAGAGCAGATAATGTAAGTAGTATAAGACCATGGTCCTATTTGTTTCTAACTTTGTGAATTTGTGTACGCATTTATTGATTTAGTATTTAATTTGTTGTTGTAGGATACGGCTTTATTGGAAGGATCAATCCAAGTATCTAAAACAGCCCAAGTATCACACAAAAACAATGATGTATAATAAAAGAGAACAAACATTTAAAATAAGAACCAGAACAAATTCACATGGAAGCAATAGTAAAAAGTTCAAAATTTAAACAACAAGGAAAGGAACATAAGAGATGCAGTTTTTGAATTTAATTTGTTTTAAATTACTTACTGCAATTATTGCTTCTGTTATTGTGTTGTAATGTTTATTATTGTATTGATGCCTTAGCTGTAAATATGGCTTCCTGTTCAGGGATTGTAATGCCCCGTACGTGCAGTCCTGGGGAAGGCGGCAATGTTACGAATTTTGTACAGTACAAAGTCTGTAATCCGGACGTTCATTATCCAGAATGATCTATAATGCAGACCTCAAAGCCACAAACCCACAAACGTTTTTTTGGTATCCTTTAAGCATGCGCGTTAATGCGCGTTTAAATATGCGTTGGGAGGATGTGTATTGGCTAATTTATGGCCAGCGCATATTCTGTGAGGACGATGAAATGATAGCGCGAGTTTGAAGGTTTTCGGACATCGCAAAACTGGTGAATTTTCCTTATGGATTTTGTAAAGAAATGTGGAAATCGGTAAAAATGAGAGTTATAACAGAAGTGTTTCATTGCGAAGACAATGCCCCAATCTCAATCAATTAACAACGCGAATTTGTAGTATGGTTCTAGATCCAGAAAAACCGTTTCGAGAGGTGGAACTTTGAAACTGAACAAAAATTATGCCTGTATAGAATTAAAGAGAAAGTATTAGCACAAAAATGAAGCAACTTAAACAACTTACATTGAAAGAAATTTAATAAAGTAACAAATAAATATTAAGCTTTTTTTCTTTTCTTTTCTTTTCCTTTTTTTTTTTTTTTTTTTTTTTTGAATTTGATACCCTTTATATCATAAATGTCTTTATTCGAATTACGGTTTCATATTTTTAATTATAATTTTTCTGCATGCCGTCTTACAAGATTTAATTGATGATCTATAATCCGGAAAATACCTTAATCCGGAGTCGTCAAAGACCCGACGAGTCCGGATTACGGAATTTGTACTGTACTTAGATAGGTAAGTTTAGCAGAACTATAGGTAAAAGTTTTGTATTTTTTCGTGTAATGTAGCGCGAGATAAATTTTAACAGAAAACTATGTCGGAAAAATAACAATACATGGGACAAGTGCAAATAAAATTGAGTAAATGGGTATCTCGGTAATGTGGCGACATATGGCCAAGCTGACGTCGTTTTTGGCGACTTTGTGTCGAGAAATTGCCAAAAGGCGCCAAATTGGACGGCCATTTGTGTGACATTTTATTCATGTCCCTGTATCACCGTAATATGTATTGTAACTGAATAAATGTAAGTGACCACTATATTAACTGTAACCGTTATTTTACCCTGGTACCTGCTTTCCAGTAATTTCCAGAAGCAGAAAGTACTAGAAATGTCTCGCGGCCGGTTGAAAACTATTTAAGGCCGAAGAAAGAGCATCTGCGGTTAGTTGCTTAACAATTGTTGTTGCGAGTTGTTTAGTTCCGCGTGAACTAAGATATCCGAGTTAGCTTCTTTTTAGATGCGCTTTGCGTTGCGTTGTGTTTAACGTTTTTAGTAGTTTTAAGTATAACTATTGTGTGATACTATGAATGCATGTACGAATTTTTCTGTGGAATATTTCACAGTTCTGAAGTATTTCTTTTGATAAAAATAAATTTTTATTAACCTATCGTCGGACTTGTACGTAGAATCTGTTACGAACCCGTGCGCACGCAACAATAACTTCGACGCAATACTAACAAAACGAAACTGAGCCTGGCTATATAGCACTTGATTTCGATACGCAAATTCATTGGCTGTTGCCAATTATCTCGACAGCTATTTATTTTTCTGGAGTACGCACGAGCACTGTTCCCTTCAAGGATGCCGACAGCACAGTCCAGTCGAGCCGGCAAAATGTTTCCGTTTGTAGAAAGAATGGTATATATGCCGTAGACATCCGGAGAAACATATTCGAAAAGACATTGCTTCAGTCAGCTTACCAGATGACTCCCTCAACTAGCGGGAATAATATACAGGCTTAGATTTTTAAATCTGCTATGAAGCTTCTCCACGGCAGCACCTGGCGTTTATTCCGGTATATGTTACAGTTACTTAACAGTCTCTTATCTATCTTTTACCTCTTTCTGTTACCTATCTGTCTTTTAAACTCCCTTCCTTACTCTTAATTTTCATAACCTTCTTGTCTGAACGAATATGTAGGACATGAACCAAAAGAGGACAGTAGTGTTTAGCTTAAAGTATAATTTAGTAGGACAAAAATAATGATCACACGCTGATCAGAATTTTGTTAGAATCTGGAAGATAAGCATGAGGTAAACACTCCTATATTAAATATGATAAATGCTTTATTATATCAAATTAATTTAAACTTTCTTACCTTTGCAACTCGGAGTTAGATTGCTCCAGTGAGTGTCATTCGTCTTCACATCCAATTCGCATGTCAAAACATTTGATGTATCGTTTTCTAACTCGAATCCTGTATCACATGAATAGGTTGCTGTTGATCCGATTACCCTCCTGCCATCCTCGCCTGTTTTCACCGTATAGTTGCCATTAGAGATAGACGGAGGCTCTTCACATTCCATCTCTGATCAATCCCAGGGAACAAAGAAATGTGTAGTATGAGAAACTATAATGTTTTTTCCAGTACGTACCTTAAACATTACAGAAACATACTTAAAAATGCATTTCTTCACCGGTATAGTTCATTGAAAAGCCTAAATCTCTGTAACTCCGAAGACATAATCAAGTGGCTTAGAGTTACTATTCAAATATTTCAAAATATTTTTTTTTTCTTTTTTGGACAGTATAGTTAACATTCGCGATATTATGATGGAAAGTTTCAGTAGCAGGTGAAAGTCTAAAACTGTTCAGTTTCACCTTGAAAATTAACACCCCATTACTTTGACTCAAAGAGAATACCGCAAGATGTTCCGAAATAGCCGAGTGCTCCAACTAACTTGTTGAATTTAGGGTTTCAACCGTTTTGTTGGAGCACTGAATTCAACTATTCAGCTACAAGTAATGGCTTTCTTAATTATATGCTGAAACCATTTCAAGGTGGTTTCAACCCCCGCATTACTCAAGAACTATTAGACCTACAAACTTGCAATTTTGTATATCCTTTGAACACCTAGAATCCTAAATTATAGAACCTCTTATACTTACGGAATTATTCAGGTCTGAAAAGTGTTATTTTTATAACTCACTGACTGACTGACTGATCAAAAACCTAGACCACTTCTAAATGTCTTAGATACTTGAAATTTGGCATCAAGGTAGATCATTAGATCGGATGTACCTGAAGGAATTGTTTTAAGCCTCATTTATGAAGGTCTCTGCAAGGAACAGTCTCTGAACGATGGGCAGCCCAGATTCTTTTAAGAATTCAAAAGCAGAAAAATGGTGTTTGCTATGAACAGTATTTCGCAGTTTTACAGTGCGAGCCAGAGACATGTTACAATCTTCTACAGTGAATCGTAACTGGTGATGGTCCTATATTTCGATCTCGTGGGAATCATTGGAGTGCAAGAAACCTGGTGAAGCTCTGCGAATAAAGGAAAAGTTTCAGCAGTCAACAAACCCGATAACGGTAACCATTCTGGGACTGTAAAGGAATCTTCCTTTGTAGTCTTTAAAGAAGAGCGAAAATCAGTAATCAGATATTAATGCAATTAAAGAGAAAAGTCATCGTTTTCTAAACACTCGAATTTATTTTCTCCATGATAACCTTCCTGCAAATTTAGCTGTCATTTCTAAAGGAAAGTACGAAAATACGGGTAGAATCATTTTAATCGTCCCCCCTTTCTGTCCAAATTTAGCTTTAAGAGATTATTACCTAATCTCGAAATTAAAATATGATTTCCTGCCTGTATATTCCTGCGTACCACTATGTACACAAAAAGTTCATGCTCGTTGTCATGAAATTTTTGAACTAAATGATTTAAGTACATAACGTAAAAAGGCGATATAAACATTGCAAAAAAAAAAAAAAAAAGTAATAAAGAATGCAGTAGATGAAGCATTTTCTTTTATACAAAGCAATTAAGAAAAAAAATCGTGTAATTTTAATTTAAAATATATATTTATGGTTGTAAGTTTCTCTATATAAATATAAATTCTTACCGCCTACGACCATTTGCAGGAGAACTGTGACCACACAGATCTCAAGCACCAGCTGATGCATACGATGCGACATTATATCTCTATCTAAAACAAAATTTCGAAAATGTAAACATTTTGGAAATATGTATTTATTATTGCACTATAAATAATCTTTTATAGTGAAACACACATTTTATAAACCAAAAATAAAAAATATTAGTACAGCTCCAGTTATCCGAACTCTGACTATCCGAATCGCTGATTATCCGAATCGCTTTCAGAATTTCAGAATTTTTCAGAATCAGCTGAAGAAGAGAAAGGAAAGGAGAAAAAGAAGCTCAAGAAAAGGAAACAAAAGAGGCAGGAGAAGATGAGGATGACGTGTCACTTGAAGAATTAAGGAACATTCTTTTAAAAATTCCTGGATGTTTAGAAGTTAGTACTGAGGATACAGCAGGGAATGGATGGTGTGTGATACGTCAGACCCTGGGTTTCAAATTCTAAATGATGATGAACTTATTGAAAGTGTGAGAGAAGATGACTTCAATGTCGATATTGAAGCAGTCACGAGACCATCAGCTAGTGCAGGGTTTGCCGGCCTTGAAACTGCGTTGAAGCAATGACTTTCATCACTTTTTAGTACTGTACAGTACACTGTATAACATGTACCGTAAAAGTGTTGCCTTTTCATTTTAATTAATCAAAACCTCTTTTTCGTTAAAAAAGTAATTTTTTTCTCCCATTTTCAACATATAGTATTTAATTAAAGTGTACATAGACCCTTTCTTTGGAAAAAAATCCAGTTATCTGAATGAGGCCCGGTTTCACTTGATTCGAATAATTGGAGTTCTACTGTACTTGATTTGAAACAAAATTACATATTTTATTTTATGAGGATTGGAAAGTTACTATTAGTATCATAAGCCATGGTAAGAAAGAAACTGGTTTGTTTGTTTTGTTCCTGAAAAATAACAGTATTGAAAAATGGTACGGATTACTCGGAAAAATTTTAATAACGAATGCAACTGGCACACTTATTTTCCATTAGCCATTGGCGATTATATCTAATACAGAAAACAAGATCTTTTTAAAATTTAATTACGATACAGATATATGTATGAATTACGCTACAGATACGATGAATTACGATTTTCTTGAGGCAAAATCTTGGAAGTTAAACCATCAAAAGTAAAGAATCACATTGAAACAGAAAGATAAAAACTCTTGAGGAGCTGTCACCATATAGTGTGTAAAAATACAATGTTCTAAGGAATCATGAAAATTGTGTCTAGTACTACTATTACAGTTTTTAATGAAATAGATTCATTAATTTACAGGCTTTTAAAAATGTGACTGTCATCAGAATGTTAACCCTATACAGAGGAGTGGATTTTTTACGACCACCTGCCTAACAGACTTATTGTATTGCATTGAAACAAACGACATGTTTCCTTCCCCCTCTTCTTACACCGTGTTTCATCTAGCCCAGCCTGTTCGTTTGAGTACCTGCTCTTCGCTTTCTAATATCTACCCACGAACTAAAAGCTTAAAAACAGAAAGGCTGAAATGGTATGATTTTTGATGTTTTCGTCAACAGCACCCGCAGAAGAGGGGGGAAAGCCTGAAATGGCAAGATTTTTGTAGCCACCTTCTGAAAAGCAGACTGGGAAAGCCCGAGATGGGATATCACACCTATGAGAGCACCAAAAATTCGCATTTCCACAGGCACAACATCAGTATCATTGTGTCATATCAGTATAATTGTCACATCAGTATCAGTATCACAACGGTATCATTGTCACCACAAGAAGTCGCATAAAGGGTTTTTTTTGGGTGGGGGGCATGTTTATTTTTATCTTGAAAATTAGCATAAAAAAGTGCAATTTGTAAACGTTTAAAATTATTAAATTTTTATAATTTTCAAATGTTTCCAATATTAGATCTACTGTTCATTAATACGAGACTCAATTAAGTGACAGAAAAACTGAACTTTGGTCATGTTTGCAGTAATCGCTGGAAGAAATCAAGCTGTTAACAGGAATACTTAAAGTATAAATAAGGCCACGGTGAAGAAATAAGAATAAGGACAGATTTTTAACATAAATAAAAACAGGCTAATTAAAATAAACCTTACGATCTAAAAACTGTGTTAAACTATTCTTGGGAAACATAAACTAGAACGAGACGCAGCAACCTGAACCTAAACTGAACCTATGTCCGGTAATCTGACAAAGAGCGCAAGAAGATAATACCCTTTTATTAAAACCCAGTAATTTAACAGAAGGTGCTTCTTGTCCTTATAAGTTAGTTGATAACAGCGGCATCATTCTGTCTATGGCACTGCTTTAATCTTGCAAAAAATGCTGTCATGCCGGTGTAGGTCTGAGTCAACTTATGCGCTAGATATTTCTGCATAGCCTTTGGCTAACATACTTAGATTTAATTCAAATTTGAGTTCCTTATGTTTGAGTTTAGGACATAAATGTTGGCTGGATTCGTAATCACTAGGCGTACCTTCTGTTCAACTATTTGATTTCTTAATGAAAGTAACTTTTAGACTCTTCTTAAGCTTTTGCTTAATTAACTAGACATAGCAATAAGTCGGCTATGTGTATTCAAGAGTCTAGACTTACTGTATGTTATAAAAAAGAGTGAGACTCTACAAGCGTTTCAGTATATCTAAGAAAACTTGTCAGAGTTGCAGTAAAAATTTATTTTTGCATGCCAGTCTAAAAATTTATTTGCTCAGTCTGTAGCGTAAACTAAACTAAGCCTTTCTATTCTAAAGATAATAAAAAGTTATTATTATTTTAAAAGTTAACTTATAATAACAAAAGAATAGTATCGCACATTCACTGGACATTGACACATTAATTAAAAGCATTTGCTGATCAAAAAGCAAGAAATGTGAAGATTGAATTACGCTGAAAAATTATTCTACATTGGAAAAAGGTCGAAGATAGAAAGAGAATATTACTTAATTTTCATTATTTATTATTTATTATTATTGTTAACTTTTAGTTAAAGTACTTTAACTAAAGCTACTTTAACTAACAGCAAAGTATTATAAAATCTGGAAAGGATTTGAATAAATATGCAGTAAAATACAATAAATTATTGTATTTCTTTTTTAACTTTTCATTAGTATTATCAAACGCCACATTTCAGTTTTTACAGCGCTTTTATTCCATTTCACTGTGGAGAAGTACATAACTTTGAAAGCTATACAAATTCGCTATATATGTAACAATATATGCGAAATGCATTACATAAGTATATATAATTTTTGTTTTCGAAATAAAATAATTATAGGGAATAAATAATACGATACTGTGAACCTGTTATACAAAATACAATTTTAAATTCTGCCCCGTTTCGAAAGCACACATATCACAACCTGGGAGGGAGAAAGAGCACTATTCTGTGGAACTCAGTTTGAAAAACTACTCACTGAGATTAAATTAAATACAAATGCATACAATTTCCTAAAATCCTTCTGAGTTATTATCATAATTTGTTAAAAAGTATAGCTTAACTAAAATCGCAATAATTTGGATCTTTGATATCTGCATCGATTTGCTTATTATACTGACGTTACTTGAATTTGTGACGTTATTAGAATATTATATTGACCTTACTTGTAGAATAAATATTATGCAGATTGAATGCTGTACTGGAAGGTATCGAACGTTACAAACGAAATAAAAGTGAAACTCACCGGTATTTGGAATTTTTGATTTTCTTCAAATATATGTGTTCCTCTTCTGTTTGATAAAAGGAACACTGCCAGTAGCAAGGAGCAGCAAGCTTTTAATATTATTTAAAACTTATCGGGTGAGAAGTTCTTTTTCTTAAGTAGGAGGTCAAGAGATGAGATATGCGCAATAACATCATTCAACACTTCAGGAAAATATTTGCCGCCGATCGTCTGATAGTCTGGGAATCAAAGGAAGCAAACGTACAGCGAAATTTTACTTTCACATTGACTCTTAAATACTAAGTTTGATTAGGCTATGCTACGTGAATTTGAAGTTTTTAATGAATGCAAAATTTTAAACCTGTGCTTGGTGAAATACCCAATTAGAAGGTAGGTTTTAAAAATACATTGGTATTTATTACAAAGATATAAATTAAATTGATTAAGTAAAATACAAGTCTTCAATTCTGAGTTTTTTTTTAATCATTTTGATAAAAAAAAAAAACTGTTCCAGTAACAGATTAGATTATTTACATTGTTTCAGAACCTTTTTAATTGAAAAGAAACGGAGAGGTGAAAGAGCTTATACATATGCGGCTCAATTCTTTTATAATACGTTCTAATATCTTACCTAGTCCTGGAGAACTATCGTCGGTAATCCCTCCGTTTGGTAATCTTTTTCCGCTTTGGCAATACCAACCATAGTTATTATGTGCCTACAACACAAGTTTCAAGGCAATTGTTGAATGCTGATAATTCGTCCGCAGTCACCACTGCTGCTGCACCGCCCGTGTTCATCCAACCCCAGACCTCTCATGCCTAATTTCATAGTCGTTGAATGATATCGTCACTTTTTCGTTATAACGCTTCCAAAGAGAAATTGGTACTAGTATACCACTTTATTCAAATTTTCAATAAACACTTGCCACAACTTAAATGCAAACACGTAATGGAGAAGATATACATTTTGTATATGTTGAAGATGTAACGGTTAGTGACCTCTATTAATGGATAATTTGCTTACTATGGTGCCATGATGCAATGGCCTAAGGCTAATTACATGATTTCAATTGTTATAATAATACAACCTGATGTCTTACTCCTACAAGAACATAGCTAGTCTCCTTGCTTTCGTATACCCAATTATTCTCAGTACAGACTGACAGATTAGACTATAGTCGCACCTTGGAGGGGCTCCTCATACTATTAGCGCTCCATCGCTCACCACACACCACATTACCACAGCTTTCAGCACTTGAGGCCCAGCTATCACAATCACTCCACCACTTCACCACCATCACTCTTATCTCCTCCTATGTACCAGGCACCACAGATCACGAAGGATAATTTCGCAAGATTTTGTTGCCCTATCCACTCAATAACCAGAATTATATTTGGAGGAGACTATAATGCACACCACCCGCGAGTGAAACTGCAGAAATGACAATTCCTTGGACGTGTAATACTCGAATTTGCCGAAACTGCTGGGTTTACATTGCAGCTCCACACACCCCAAACGTTACTTCATACTTCAGCTTCACTGGATTTCTTCTTGTTAAAGTTGGCCTCCAGACAGTTGAAGCTCGAACGAGCTCTTCTTCAGACCACAATCCGTCATTTTTGAGCTGACGTCTCTGTTCGTAACTCACCACCCAAAAAGCCTTTATCACTAACTGGACTGGTTTATACCAAAGCCTTAAAAACAACACCACACTGTTCACCCACACCTCAGACGAGCGATGAGTTAGACGCATTAAATTAGTACTTTCACCATGAATTACAAACTGCTCTGCAAAAAAATAGCACCTCACCAACCGACCAAAGAAATGTAACAGGCTGCGCATTAACCTTTTCAAAGAAAAATGCGTAAGGAAACTGGCAGACTCACGTTACCCTCCTGATAAAACTTTGCTCAATCAGCTAAATCGACAAGTCAGATCCCTAACACAGCAATCGCAGACCAAGACGGGCTACATACTTATCCTCTGTTTCTAGCGAGGATAATTCATTTGGAAAACTACCTCCAACTGAAAAGATGCCACACAAACATTCGCCCTTAACAGGCCATGCAGGAATCGCAATCACAGCGACTGAGAAAGCTGAGTCGCTTGCCGATCACTTTCTACTCATTCTGCACAAACAACATTTCACACCCTTAACAGACAATCTTGTCACACAAACACTCTCCAACTACTCAACACAACCCCACACTACCAACACCTTCCCTGTACTGCTTGAGGAGGTCTTTGACTACATCGAGAAGCTGAAAACTAGGAAAAGTCCTGGCCTGGACCAAATATCGAATAAAATGATTAAGAACATGGGACTGCACATGCTGTTAAAGCTCACGAAGATCCTTAATCACATGCCCCGGCTGGAGCACTTCCCCACACTGTGCAAAACGACAGTCATTACTCCACTACTCAAACCCGGCAAGCCTTCAGAAGATCCTGGATCATACAGGCCTATCAGCCTTCTTCCGGCGCTCAGCAAGGTTGCTGAGCATGTGATAATGAACAGACTGCTAACACACGTCGAAGAACACAACCTGCTGATCAATGAACAACATGGATTCCGCCAAAAGCACTCGACTGTCCACCAGTTGTATCGGGTGACTGAACTTATTTCCAAAGGCCTGAATGACAAAACCACTACAGCAGCACTGTTTCTCGATGTGGCCAAGACCTTTGATCGTGTCTGGCACGGGGGCCTACTCTACAAACTCATTAACCTGGGCATACCAGGATACATCACACACATCCTTCACTCTTACCTAAAAGGTCGACAATTTGTCATTCGTGTTAATAACACTATCTCCACCCCCAGGCCCAAGGGTTCCTTCTCGGCTGGGGTCCCCCAAGGGTTCCTTCTCGGCCCCCTCTTATTCAACCTTTACACGAACGACATCCCACAAACACCCAACACCACACTGGCACTCTATGCAGACGATACTGCGATTCTCTCTCAAAGCGCATCTTTTAGCTTAGTCGTTACAACATTACAAAATCACATACACGCATTGGAATCATGGCTTGTCGCATGGAAGATCCAAATTAACGTCCAGAAATCTGATGCCATCCTATTCCCCAGGCTACGAAAGGGACATTGATAGAAGCATCACGCTCCATATGTATGGAGAGCCAATCCCTTGGACTAAGCAGACCCTTTACCTAGGCGTCATATTAGACGACCAACTCACTTGGGCCCCTCACATTACACATATTCTATCAAAGTTCCGAGCGCGTAAAATTACACTTACCCCCTTAATTGCTCGGAGCTCAGCATTGTCTCTTGAATGCAAGTTACTGATCTACAAGGCTATTTTGCGTCCCGTGCTCACTTACTTATGCGTGCCCCGTATGGGGATATGCAAGCCCCACTGCAATAAAAAGGATTCAAACTACGCCCTAAGAGAGTTAACTAAGAGCCGCTGGTTCATACGAAATAAAGCAATTCATGAAGAAACAGACATATTAGAAATTCAAACTTTTTGCCGAAATAGCGAAAAGATTTTTTGACAATATCAACAAAGTCAACAACCCCACAATTCCAATCTTATATTACGACCCTACAAGTAACGTAAACAAAAAGAGACCTCGAGCGGTGCTTCGGCACCTCCTCTAGGCCGTTTTATATTGCGTAGTTTCAAAAAAAAAAAAAAAAAATATTATAAAATTTTTGTATTCTCATATTCTTTTGTTTTATTGCATTGTATCTCAGATTTATGTTGTCATATCTCTTTGTATTACTTGTACGTATAGTATATGTTCACATATGGATCTCACACTTCTTCGGGTAACTTTATCTGACATTTCTTGACTCGATATCATTCTGCGCACTTGCTTATACTTCTCTCTCACCTCATGCGTATGCCCCTGGGTAGCATTTTTCCTCGGTTCTACAGACGTCATCACTCTATGCCATCATGTCTGTACATTCTACATCTATCGGATGTATGCACTTTTTTACTTCTCTTCTATATTAGAAATCGGACATTGTTATTACGGGTAACCACTGTAGACCGATGCAAGCCCGCTGCTGAAAGAAGATTCGCCTTTTTCCATTTTTCGGGAAAGTAGTTATTTTCCAGGCAGGCATTGAGAATGCTGACATATCGTGTGACAGTATTAAGTGGCATATTTTTAATTGCAACATTCGTAATTTCATCATAGCCAGGTGCTTTCCGGTTTTTCAGGTTTCTGATAATGTTTCTAACCTCTGTCGGGGATGTATATTCAGTGCGATTTTTGGCCCCTGGTCCTTCAAGCCAGTCTTTGATAAATTGCCTGAGTAATTAAGATGAGAAAAGAGGGTCACAAGGGATCTTGATTCGGTACAAATTGTTGTTCTAAGTGCTCTGCCATAATGGCGGCCTTTTCCTTGTAAGTAAGTGCAATTCTGTTATTACTATAAATTGGTTTATTGCAGGGGGCTTGCGCCTAAGGTTTTTTGCGAAAGACCAGAAATCATTTCCAGATTCATTAAAACTCTCAATTTTATTATTCCAGACCTCATCCCGATGTTTCCGAATCTTGCAACTGATTATATTATTAAGTCTGTTAAGTTCTTTCTTGACCCCTGGGTTCCAAGAGATATGCCACCTTTTTCTCAAACGGTTTCTCTGTTTAATCATATCTCTAATTTCTCTGGGTAAACGGAAATTGTCTTTATCAATAGGATTTTTTTTGGTAGCAGTGTTGTATGCACTGAGGATACTATTGTTGAGAATTTCGATCGCATTATCAATATCCTCTTTATTCTTGAGTGAGCTAATAATTGGAGGGTTTTCTAACAGTTGTGTGTAATAATGCTGCCAGTCAGTGATGTTTTTAAATTTGTTTTCTTCGCATTTGTTAGTGCCCAAAATAGCGATAACCGGCACGTGGTCGGAGGTTAAGTTCAACTTTAACATCCAAATACATTGGAATGTCAGTATTTGTGAGCACAATGTCTAAAATATCTCCTCTTCTAGGGTTTTCTGGGAGGTACGTATAAACTGAAGGTGCATAGAAATAAATAGGATAGTTATTGATAAACTCGATTAGGACTTCGCCATTATTGTTGGTTCTTCGGCAGCCCCATTCA